CACCCCCCACCTTCCCCCCCCCCCGAGGCCATCTGGTATCTGGGCTGCGCGCCCCCCCCCGTGCGCGCCGCCCTCGTAATCGTGGCCCACAGCCAGCCGGGTCGCCTTGCGACGTGCCGCGGGGCAGGCAGCTCCAGGGCCGCCGCATTCCCTTGAGCACTACTCTTCTGGCACCCACACCCACACCCACCACACCACACCCAACCAATACACCTCCACACCCGTGCCCCTCAAGCCCCCTCTTCACTCCTCCCCCGCTTCACAGTCTGCCCACACACACCAGCACTCACCCTGCCCCGCCTGCCCCGCCCGCCCTGCCCTGCCCTCCCTCCCCCGCCCCGCCTGGCGCCAGGTCATCCTGGGCGCCGGCTACGACGCCTCCGCCGACATCTGGAGCCTGGCCTGCATGGTGTTTGAGCTGGCCACGGGCGACTTCCTGTTTGAGCCCAAGGCGGGACGGGAGTACAGTCGGGACGAAGACCACCTGGCGCAGGTGGGCGGGTGGGCGGGTGGGTGGGGGCACGCGTGTGTGGGCTGGTGTGTGGTGCTGTGCATGTCGGGCCGTTGGGCTGGCCGGCTGGGCTCGCCTGGCTGCCTGCCTGCCTGGGTGGAGCGCTCGGCTGCCTGCGCTGGGCGGGCGTCACGGCTGCTGCGGCTTGCAGGCATGCTCTCGCCTCGCTCAGTCCCACCCAGCTCGCCTCTCTGGCCGCCTCCCCCTCCCATCCGCCTGCACGCTCACCCGCCCCTGCGCCCCCTCCCCTCCCTCCCTCCCTCCCCGCCAGATGATCGAGCTGCTGGATCACATCCCTCGCTCCGTGGCCACCACCGGCCGCTACGCGCGCGACATCTTCAGCCGCGAGGGCCGCCTGCGCCACATCCACCGCCTCAACTACTGGTCGCTGGAGCGGGTGCTGGAGGAGAAGTACAAGTTTGGGAGGGAGGAGGTACGGCGCGGTACCGCCGCCGGGCGTCGGCCTGCTCTGCACATGCTGCTGCATGCTGATGATGGGATGATGTAGTGCCCCCCATATGATGTGTGATGTGATGTTGCGCTGCCATGTGCTGCTGCTGCGTGCCCCTGCCGCCCTGCCGCTGCCCCCTTGAAAGCACAGCTGCCGCCGCATCGCTGCACAGCCGGGGCGCGGGCTTGCCGTGAGGACCAACCTCAATCAATGCATGTTAGACTACCGATCGTCGGCCTAACAAGCCGACATGAGTACACAAACTCTCTTTCTGAGCAGCCCCCCCGCCGCCCCAACACTGGCGCACCTGCACCTCGCCCCTGCCTGCCGTTGCTCTCAGCTGCTGCTGCCGCCTGCTGCTGGCTGTTGAGTGTGTGCCGCCGCTGCCGCCGGCGCGGGCGCTGTGAGGAACAACCTTTGATATCCGTTGGCTGACAACCGTGATGTTTCAAAATAGACTACAATTCTCTGAGCCCCCCTGCACGCCTGCTGCCGCACCTCCCTTGCATCCCTTCAACCCGTGCGGCTACCCACCCCCCCTCGGGCTCCAGCTGACCGTTCCGCTCTCCTCCCTCTGCTGCAGGCCCGCAGCTTTGCCGACTTCCTCATGCCTATGCTCAATTTCGTGCCCAGCAAGCGTGCCACGGCGGGGCAGATGCTGCAGCACCCCTGGCTGCGCGGCGAGTCCGCGCCCACGCGCACTGGCGGCGGCGGCGGCGGCGGCGGCAGGCGCAGCCTGGAAGGCCGCTCCCAGCAGCAGAAGCAGCGCAGCCACGAGCGCAGCCGCAGCAGGAGCCGGTCAGCCAAGCGCAGCAGGTTTGTGCCCTCGCCGCCGCCGTCGCTGTCGCGCCGCCCATGCTGCCCGCCCCCATGCTGCGCCGCGCGCCACGCCGGGAGGAGGCGGGGCGCACCGTTGGGCGGCTGCTGCCGCTCAACCCTTGGTGCCGTGCATCCCCGGTGCCCCTGCCCCCTCCTCCCCCCGCAGGCGCCACTACTAGCTAGGCGCCTGCTGCACCGCCGCCGCCGCTGTCGCCTGCTCTGCTGGGGGCTGCAGCCGGGGATGCGTGTGGATGGAAGGAGGAGGAGGAGGAGCCTGTAGGGCGGTCAGCCTGGGCCGGCCAGCTAGTGGCAGCGGCAGGGCTGCCCCGGGCGCGCGGCGTCGCGCCGCACGGCGCCGCCCCGGGGCAGCAGCCGTCACGCCAGGTAGAGCAGCTGAGCTAGGCAGAGGGCAGGGCAGGGGCCACTCCCCCTGGCACCCCTGGCGCCCCTCCCCATCACATCCCGCCCCCCTCCATCCCCACACACCCGTCGCTGCTACACTGCACGCGCTCGAGCGCCGCGATTGACCCGCCGTGCGCGTGCCTGCCCTGCTGTGCGCCTGCCGCAGGTCTCCCTCACCCACGCCGCCGCCCGGGTACCGGCACCACAGCCCCGACGCGCCCGCGGGCACCCACCCGCCGCGCCAGCAGCCCTCCTCGCAGCCCGGCGCCCGCGCCGGCAGCCTCTCCAGCAGCGGCATGTCGGCGGGCACGCCCCCGCTGCCGCCGGTGGCGGCCCTCGACCTCACCGCCTCCACAGTGCTGGTCACGGCTGGCGGCGGCGGCGGCAGGACGGGGCCCGTGTCGCCCTCGCTGTCGCCCAGCGCCGCCGCCGCCGCCGCCGCGGCGCTGGCCAAGCACCAGCTGACGGGGCGCAAGTCTTGCGACTCCAACAGCAGCGGCCAGAGCTGGGAGCTGGTACCCGGGGAGGGCGGCAGCGGCGGCGCCGTGTCGCCCGCGTGACGAGGCGCCACATGATGGGCACCGCCCGCACGAAGAATAAGGCCCTTGCGCACCTCTACACCCACCTCCCTCCCTCTTAACGACGCGCTGTGTTGCTGCGAGGCAGCCGCAGTGCAGCTTCCCCGCTATTGACTGCTCTGTGCCTACTGTTTTGCTCTTTGCTCCTGCTGTGTACTCTACGCTGCGCTACATTCATGTGGCTCCCACCCTCGCCTCCACTTCTGGGGCACTGCAACTAGTGCTGCCCTGCCAGCCGCCGTCATCAACACTGCGCTCCTTTACCTGTTTTTGTTTTGACTCGCAATGCCTTTCTTCCCTCACTTTTGACATCCCTGCGCCCCGACTCGCACACGCTACCTACCTGTCAGGCGGCTGCGTTACGTGCAACTGGCAACCCTTCGGACACAGCAGGGAGAGGCAGGCATGCTAGCTGGTCTGGCAGAGGCCAAGGCGCACTCAATTTGGGTGCATGCGAAGGCCTGACGGAAGGCAGGAGGAGCAGGCGGTGGCTGAGCTGGCGGCGGCTGTCAAAGTCCTTCAATGAGGATGCCGCAAGCTCCCGCCCTCTGCTCTTCTCCTCCATCATCCTCCCCTTTTTGCACAATCATGGGGGATCACTGGACGACGATAGAGAGCGACCCGGGAGTTTTCACCGAGCTCCTGGACCGGATGGGCGTCAAAGGCGTGCAGGTGGGGTGCAGGGGGTGCGATGCAGGCCCTGGTGGAAGCGTGCAGGGCAGGAATGGCGTAGTGATGATCGTGCGATCGCCCTTTTCGCTGTCTCTCCTGCTTGCAGATGGAGGAACTGTGGTCTCTGGACGATGACAGCCTCAACAGCCTGCAGTGCGCCTCCCCGCCTGCTGCCGCCGCGGCCCGCCGCTGCTGCCGACTCATGTGCCCGCCCCCGCCCCTCGGCACATGCTCGAGCCCACGCCACGCCTCCCTCGCAGGCCCATCTACGGCCTCATCTTCCTATTCAAGTGGCAGAAGGAGGAGGACGAGCGGCCCGTGGCGACAGACTATGAGGAGCGGGGCGTGTTCTTCGCCTCCCAAGTCATTCACAACGCCTGCGCCACCCAGGCGCGCCGCTGCCCCTGCTCCCGCCGCTCCTTTCGCAGCCCTGTCCCTCTATTCACCCACACTGGTGCCTGCCTGCCTGACTGGTCCCGCCTCTGCCTCCTCTACTCCTCCGGAGCAGGCCATTGTGAGCGTGCTGATGAACCGGCCTGAGCTGGAGATTGGGCCGGAGCTGAGCCAGCTGCGGGAGTTCACTCGGGGCTTCCCGCCAGACATGAAGGGTGGGTGGCGGCCACACAGGGCGGCGACGGCGGTGAAGCGCAGCACACCGGCGCAGCGTTGCGCCGCGCTGCAGCGCCCGCCGGCGCATCCAACACTGCTCCCACACTCACCGCCGCCTGCGCCACTGAGAAGCACACCGCTCGCCGTGTCGCCCCCGCGCATCCCCGCAGGCCTGGCCATCGGCAACAGCGAGACCATTCGCTCGGTGCACAACTCCTTCTCCCCGCCGCAGCCCATCCTGCCGCCCGAGGAGCGGGACGACGACAAGGGGGAGGCCTTCCACTTCATTGCCTACGTGCCCGTGGGGTGCGTGGCGCGGTGGCATGGGTGGGCTGGCGGCATGGGTGGGCTGGTGGCAGGAGTGGGTGCTGCAGGTTGACACTACTATACTTAGCTTGTAGCCCTGATGCACTGGGCGCCTGAGCACTCCACAATCATGTGCAGCTGGGCGGTCACCACCACCGCCTGCCTCCTGCCCTCCCTTGCCCTGCCCTGTCCCACCTGCAGCGGCTGCCTGTACGAGCTGGATGGGCTGAAGGAGGGGCCCATCAAGCTGGCAGACTGCAGCGAGGTGGGCACCCCGCCTGCCGCGCGGCGTGTGCGTCGCCGGGCAGAACAGCACTGGCCGGGAGCCAGGCGTGGCAGGGGGAGCCAGGCCTGTGGAGGCTCTTCCCCTGCCTGTACCTGACCTGTACCTGTACCTGTACCTTCACCTACCTTACATTTGCCCCATGTTGGCGCCGCCGCCGCGTACAGGGCGACTGGCTGACCAAGGCGGCCGCCGCCATCACCGCTCGCATCAGGCGTTACGCGGCCAGCGAGGTCAAGGTGGGGGCAGGGTGGAGGGGTTTAGGTGCCTTGGGCTGGGCTGGGAAGAGGCGGAGCAGGCTGCCTGCGTGTGCGGGTCCCTGCCGTGCTGCAAAGCCCGTGCTGCTTGTGAGCAGCGTGCCTCGCATCGTCTGGGCTGCCTCCCTCCCTCCCGGCCTGCCCGCAGTTCAACCTGATGGCGTGCATAGAGGACCGGCGGCAGAAGCACCAGCGGGAGCTGGCCCAGCAGCGGCGCCTGCAGGTGCGGCTGCGGGGTCCGCACAGCGCAGCCACACAGCGCAGCTGGGATGGGGCTGCTGGGCTGGCGGGCCAGGCAGGCATGCCCGCTCGCTCGCTCGCTTGCCCGCGGTGCTTGCCCTCTCGCTGCCACACTCCTCAACCACCCGGCTGACCTGGCAACGTCTCCCCACCTGCCTGCCTTGCCTGCTGTGTGCGCTCGCAGGAGCGCATCCGAGCCAAGCTGGGCAAGAGCGAGCCCCCAGCGGCGGCCGGCGGCGGCGGCGGCGAGGAGGCGCCGCTGCCCGATGATCCCGACACGCTGGCGGCGCAGCTGAGCGAGTGCGAGGCGGAGGGTGCTAGGTGCGTCTGTGTGTGTGCTGGCGTGGCGTGGTGTGGTGCTGTGGGCTGGTGTGGCCGGCTCGAGGCGATGCCAGGCATGAACGGGCTGCAACCGCGCCAACTTTCAGCTCCTGCTGCGGTTGCCTGTCAGGGTGCCCGCCAAGCTTCTTGTTTCTGCACCAGCCCCACGGCGCTGCCCGGCCGCCGCTGCCGGCTGCCCCGCGCGCCTGTGCAGGCTGCAGGCCCAGCTGGCGATGGAGGAGGAGCGGCGGGGGCGGTGGCGGGACGAGAATGTGCGGCGGCGCACAGACTATATCCCTTTTGCCTTCCAGCTGCTGTCGGCGCTGGCGGAGCGCGGCCAGCTGCAGCCGCTGGTGCAGAAGGCGCAGGAGGCACACAAAGAGAAGCGGCAGCAGCAGCAGCAGCAGCAGCAGCAGCAGGGCAAAGGCAGCTGAGGCGGGAGGATGGCAGCGTGGAACGCGGCGGTGCTGTGCACCAGGCGGCTCCGAGCTTTGGGCTGTGTGTGATGTGGTAGCCTCCCCCGCCCTGTGTGAAGTGTCTGTAACCTGGCCGCAGACATCTTGGCTCTATGTACACAGCGGGGTGGGTTTGGGGTCTGGTTGCGGTCCTGGCAATGTTCCATGCAGAGGCGAAAATGCTTCACGGCATGCAGGCAGGCAGGCTGTGGGGATGTCCCTGGACATGAAGGCTTGCAGAAGCAGAGCATGCACAGCATGCACAGCGTGTTGGGAGGCAGGCAGATCAGATGAGCAGTCAAAGACACGCATGCACCGCACCGTGCGGATCAATTGGAGGGACAGCTGCGCGGGAGTTGAAGGCCCACCAACCTTCCAGGCTAGGCTCAGGTGGGCTTGCGCTCAAGCTCGGCCACAAAGATGGTGCCAGGCGCAAAGCCCGGCGGGCCAAAGACCACCTTGGGACGCCTGCACTGCGCCTTGTGCTGCTGCCAGTGCGCGGCCTGGCACTCGCGCCCGCAGTAGCGCGCCGCCAGGCACCTGGCGCAGCACCGCAGGCTGGGCCTCGCCTCGCCGCACTGCGCGCAACAGCGCTGCGCCCCGGCCTCGGCCCTCAGCGCTTGCAGGTACTCGGCGTTGCCGGCGGCGGCGGCCTCCAGAGGCCCGCGCCCGAGAGTGTCTGCAAAGAGCTTGGAGTCGGTGCCGGCCCCCAGCCGGATGAGCAGCAGGGCTGTGTCCAGGTGGCTGGCGGCGCAGTGCAGGGGCCACGCGCCTTGGAAGCTGATCGCGTTGACGTCGGCGCCGGCTGCCAGCAGCAGCCTGCACATGCCTGTGTGGCCGTACTGCGCCGCCAGGTGCAGCGGGGCAGAGCTCCCCTCGTCAGCGAGGGGTGCTGATCCTGGCGCCGGGGCTGCGCCCACCGCCGCCCCCGCCCGTATCAGCTCCTGCGCAGGCTCCACGGCGCCGCATTGAGCGGCGCTGTGCAGCGGCGTGAACCAGGCGGGTGCCTTGGTTGTGGCCGTGACGGAGGCGCCGCCTGCCAGCAGCGCTCGCACCGTCGCACCGCCGCGCTTGTGTGCAGCCGCAGCATGCAGCGGCGTGTTGCCGTAGTCGTCGGCCGCGTCCAGTGAGGCCCCGGCAGCCACCAGCACCATCACCGCCTCTGGCTGGCAGTTCTTGGCGGCGATGAGCAGCGGGGTCTGCAGGCGGGCACACAGGGCAGGCGGGGGGCCGCACGCATGAAGCTGCGCGCCTTGCTCTTGGGCGAGTGTGGTGCCGCTCGCAAGCCCCCCCTCGACCGCCCGCCATCACCCCATCTGCGGACGAGGCAAGCAGCCCGAGGACCCCTCGCCACCCCCTGAAGAGTCCTTGAACAAGAGCCCCGCCTGTCCCACCTGCTCATACTGATCCCGCGCGTCGATCGGCGCCCCAGCGTCAACCAGCAGCTGCACCACCGCAGCGTGGCACCCCCGGCCGGGCGCCGTCCCTTTGCAGGCGCAGTGCAGGGGCGTCCAGCCCCGCTCATCCGCCGCCGCAACGGACGCCCCAGCCGCCAGCAGCTGGCGCACGACTGCGGCCTGGCTGTCGGCGCCGACCAGGCCGGTGATGGGGCTGCCAAGGGCTTCTGCTGCTGCGTGCAGCGGCGTTTGCCCCCTGGCCGAGGCATCGGCACCAGCCTCCAGCAGAGCGCCACCGCATCTGCCTGAAGAGCGCCAGCCGCGATGCACAGGGGGCTCTGCTGGTACGCGTCCTGCTGGTTGACGCCGGCGCCCGCCCCCAGCAGCAGCCGCAGCACGCTGCAGTGGCCAAACACGGCCGCCGAGTGGAGGGCTGCCTGGCCGGCCTCGTTCGCCGCAGCCACGTCTGCGCCGGCCGCCAGCAGCTGCTCAACATCACGGGTGTGCCCCATCTGGGCTGCCGCACTGAGAGCATGGCCTTGCCTCTGCACACGAGCATCCACAGGGGCGCCGGCTCGCAGCAGCCGGGCCACCACACTGGAGCTCCCCCCCATCGCAGCCAAATAGAGCGAGACGCCCATGTCGGCGGCAGAGGGGTGGCGGGCGAGGAGGCGGTCCACTGCCGCCGCATCCCCTGCCTGCGCAGCGCGCTGCAGAGGGCTGGTGCCGGCGACCATGATGCCCCTGCAGGCAGTCAGGCGGCGGAGCGGTAAGGCTCGCCCCACGCATTCTGGCACGCAGCGTTGCAACAGCGCCTCGCCTCAGTGCCTGCTCCATTGTGCTGCAGCACCCGTGCAGCCAAGCGGAGATAGGGAACTGGGAAGCGGTGCTACTTCGGAGAGCAGGCTGCCCCCTGGGCTTCTGTTCCGTTTCTCTGGGGTGGCCTGAGTTCCGCACTGTAAGCTAGAAGAAGTTGAGGATAGTCCCGAGAAGAAGTTGAGGACAGTCCCGAAGGGGGAGATGCGCTGGCAGCGCGCGCCGCCCCCGCGTCAGCCGTCACTCTGCGTGGCGTCACCCCACGCCGGCCGCTGCTTACCACCTGCAGTCCTAGCCTGGATTTACTGAGTGTGAAGCTGCAGGTGTCGGACCAGCTTTAATGTGCATTTTCTTCTCATTCCTATAATTCCCACAATAGGTAGCCACCTGGGCGCAACCCCTCTACACACCATGCAGCGGCTTGTTGGCATGGAAGCAGGCATCTGTCTGTGTCCTCCTGTTCCTGGCTTTTCGCAAGGGCGCTGGTCACATGAGCACCAATGTCACACTCATGGCCAGGCCAGGCAAGGACATCAAAGAATCGAAGAGAGCAGGGGAGGTACAAGCAGGGTGCGGAGATGCAAGCGAATGGGAAGACGGCAGCAGGAGTGCACAGCGGATGGCGGAAAACGGTGGGGGCGACCCATGATCTGATGGTTGGCACTACGGTAAGAAAAACGTGAATCATGCGAGGAACAAACGCCAGCAGCAGGGCCGCCGGCTTGCTCAGCCCAGGGGCCCGCCGGCGGGAGGCGGTGGCGGCACTGCTGGGCAGGCCACCGCCCAGCTCAGGGGCTGGGTTGGGCGGTGCCCATGACGCCATTCAGGCTGCTGCTGGCGCCGCTGCTGCCCGCATCCCCGGGCGCCAGCTGCAGCCGCGCCATCATGTCGGCCGCCTGCTGCTCATCCAGCAGCGTGCGGGAGGCCTTGCGCGGCATGGGAGGGCTGACCAGCTCAGCCTCGAACCGCTTGCGGCTGCATCCCGCCAGCTGCGGCGGAGGCGGCCCCGACGCGGCTGTCGCCGCCACGTCCAGCGAGCGTCGGGCCAGGGACAGGCCTCCGGCGGCCGCCGCCACGGCGCCGTTGAGAGAGCGCTTCACCCTGCAAAGGGCAAACAGGGGCAGGCAACAGGAAGAGCCCCCTTGGTGTCACTCCAGCAGAATTCGTATCCTCCCGCAGGCCAGCGCTACCCTCCCCAACCCCGTACCTGAGGCGCACGACGTGCCGGGCCCCTCGCCTGCCCACCCGCTCGGGAGGGCATGACTGCACGCGGCCTGCAAACAGTGCTGCCGCCGCCGGCGCCGCTGCCTGGGGCGGCGAGTCATCGGAGATGGGCTTGCGGTGCACCGCCGGCGGCGCTGCCGGTCGGCCGGCGGGCTGGCCTGCCAGCGGCGTGCAGCCGGGAGGCTCTTTCTGCGGAGCTGCGAAAGGGTCAAAGGTGCCGACGCTGCCATGCCGAGCTGGCGAGTGCTGCAGGCGCGAGGGGCAGCTGACTGGCACGCTCCACTCTGTGCCGCTGCCCAGCGGGGTCTGCCTCACGTCGAGTGTGAGCGGTCGGCCGCTGGTGCCCGCTCTGGCGGGCTGCCAGTCGCAGGCTGGCGGGCCTGCAAGCGCATGGGCGCTGAAGCTGGGCCCAGCCTGCTCCAGCACGCCTGCCGAGACGGGGAGAGTGGCGGCATGCGGGAAGCAGTTGAGGAGTGTCCTGTGGCGGCTGGCTGGCGAGACTTGACCGGCGAATGGCGGCAAGCTTATGGCGCCAGGGTGGGAGCGCAAAAGCAGGCCAGGAGCCAGCCTCAGTTGGTCTGCACTGTGGCCCATCCTTCACTGTCACCACCTGTCGCTGCCTGGTGTGCACCCAAGGCGCCCTCACCTCCATTGTCCTTGCCATTCCACGGCTCCTCCTCCATCCTACACAGCGAGCTCCATCCCACAGAGCCCACCGCTGACAACAACGAGTCGCCGGCCGGTGCCCGTGGCTGGCGGCCGCTGCAAGCTGTCAGGACAAGGCGGGATTGGCGCTGGGGTGGTCACTGAGCGTGCTGGACTGTCCCTGGCGCTGATTTTGAGGCAAACCAGGCGTGTCCTGCCTGCTGTGGGCGCCACCGCACTGCCTTCTCGCCTAATCTCGCAATCGGGTGCTTCCCTGATTGACCGTGCTGCATTGTGAATTGCCCCTGTCAGCAGTGGCTTCAAGCACGCAGCCTCAAGTAAAGCAACATGGCGGCAGCAAGCTAGGGCAGCCCTGGGCAGCCAATCTCTCGGTCCCCGCAATGCCAGGGGGAGATGAGGTCCCGGAGGACCGGCCCTTCGTGCGCTGGCCCTCGATCATCCACCCAGCCGCTTCAGCCTATCTCCCGCTGCCAGTGCCGGCCCCTCCCACCCGCAGCTCTCTTCTGGGCGCAGATGAGCTGCAGGAGGGGGCGGTGGCGGACGTTGGAGCCCTGGCCGACGTGATCAGTGCGCTACAGGCCGTGAATGTCAGCTATCTGTGAGTCCAGCGCCCGCTGGCAAGGCCCCCGTGCACCTTGGGCGACCTAGGATGCCCGCCAGCCCTGAAGCGCATGGCATCCCAACCGCGGCCGCCAATGCCCGCCCGCCCGCCTCCCGCCCACCCTGCAGGCGCCCGCTGCGCCCCGCACTCCCTGGTGCCGGCGAGCCGTGCACGCAGCTGCAGAAGCAGTTGGAGCAGGCATGCCCCGGCATCTTTTCGGGCGCATGCGTGCTCGCAGGGGCAGCCACCGCGCCGCCCAAGCCCCGCAAAGGGTCGGCGGCGCCGGCCACCGCGCCACCACCCGCGCAGCACCCAGCCACCACCGCAGTGCCACGCCGCGCAGCCGACAAGCCGCCGGCCGCCAAGCGTGCGCGGGTGGCTCGTGTCGCCGTGGCGGCAGACCGCGCTCAGGAGGAGATGCCGGCCGAGGAGGCCAGCAAGGCGGCAGGTGGGTGCAGCAGCGCTGTGGAGGAAAGCGGGAAGGGAAGCATGCGTGCATGCGCAGCCATCTGCGGGCCATGCCCTTGCTGTGGCAAGCCTGTCGAGCCCACCCTGGTCGCGTCTCACTCTGCCCACTTGCCTCATGCTGCTGCCCACAGAGGCCTATGCCGCCTGCATCGCCCAGTTTGTGCGCAAGCATGAGAAGGCAGCGGCGGCGGCGGCGGCGGCGGCGGGCGCAGACGCAGAGGAGGCCAACGGTGCCGCTGCAGGTGTGAGGGTGTGGGATGGCGGAATGACGGGGTTGCGGGGCGGTGGGAAGCAGGGCAGGCTTGTGTGGGCTTACAGTCTGGTTTCAGCAAGAACAAGCTTGCAGCACAGACTTTGAGGCAGGCGCTGCACCCACCGCCTGGACCTTTAGCCACCTCCTGCTGCACGCTCTGCCCTGCTGCCCCAGCGCTTGCCGTGCCCCCACCGTACCGTACCGCCGCTCCTGCCACCGCCGCTGTAGCAGGGCAGGATGAGGAGATGGAGGAGGCGGGGGAGGAGGAGGAGGAGGAGGAAGAAGACGAGATGCTGGCAGGCGCCGGCGGCTCTGGAGGCGCCGCGCTGCTGCGGGATGTGCGGCGGGTGTGCGAGGACACGCTTCGCATGTGCCAGGCAGGCCACCAGGCCGCGCTGCGAGGCGTGCCTCCCGACGCCCTGCTGGCCCTGCTGCGCGTGCTGCACGGCCTGGTCACGGCGGGCGCGGGGCGCCTACTGGAGCAGGGCGACACGGTGGGTGGGTTGGGGTGGGTGGGTGGGTGGCAGCGGCGGCGCAGGCTGCGTACGCGTGCTTGTGCTGGTCGTGAGCTTTGCTTAGGGTCATGCAACAGGCCAAGCACCGGCGTGGGGCTGGCATGCGAGCGATGGGGCGGGGCCAGGCCGCCAGCCTGCCCTTCCGCCCTGCCTTCTGACGCCCTCCTCGCGGCTGGCGTCGCTGCCTGGCCCGCAGGAGGGCAGCCCCCGTGGGCGGCGCATCCTGGTGGCGCTGGAGGCCGCCGCCGCCGCGCTGCACATCATGACGGTGCCAAACATGCCGCAGAGAGGTGTGGAACGGAGTGGGGGAGGGCTGCTGCTTCAGGCCTGGCTCGTGCAGCGCCTGGCTGCCGGTCAGGCTGCCTGCCTGCTGGCTGCGTGGCAGGTGTGGCTGGTCCAGGAGAGCCGGCCCCCTGGCCTGGGCGGCCAGAGATTTCAATGCGGCACCTCAGCCGGCGCTCGGCTCGCACGGCTGGTGCCGCGCCCCTCTCGCGCCGACGCCTGTACCGCTGGCCCTGCCCCGTGCCTGCCTGTTGTACCGCAGTGTACAACGAGGATTTGATGGAGGCGGTACTGGACCTGCTGCGCTTCCACCTCACCTACAACATTTTCCCATTCCACGACCCCCGCCTCCGCGCCGCCGCCCGCCCCCAGCTGGCCGCCGGCGACGAGGAGGCGGCGGCGGCGGCCGAGGCGGCGGCCGCGGGCGGCAGGCGCAAGCTGTCGGCCAAGAAGGCCAGGGCGGCGGCGGCGGCGGCGGTCAAGTGGGTGGCGGTCACGCTGTGCCTGCTGTGGTTGGTGCTGTGCCTGCTGTGGTTGCCACGCTCTGCCCCCTATGCTTTGTTCGGCCTGCCTGCTGAGCACGCTGCCCCTATGTCTCGCTCGGCCTGCTTGCCAGCCCCGGAAGCCCCAGCCCTCTTTGCTTGCCCACCCCGCTCCCCCCACCCCCCGCGCCGCAGGATCCCCCCCGCCATGCGCCCGCTGCTGGACCGCTGCCAGTCGCTGCTGCTGCTGCTGGCCGACCTGCTGCGCCTGGTGCGCCTGCCCGCGGCGGCCCTCATGCCGCTCCTGCGCGCCTGCATGGTGTCGCTGGCGGTGGAGGGGCAGAAGCTGCTGCAGGAGAAGGCGGTGCGCCTGCTGGTGGCTGCCTTCCAAGCCTACCCGGCACAGGTGGGCGCGCAGTGGGGCGGGTGCAGCTGGGCGGGCGCGTGGGGCGATGGGCTGACCGGCTGCAGCCATGCTGGACCGCGTGCCTCCTGTCCTCGGCTCGCCTGCCAGCCCTCCTCGCCCCCTTCA